GAGTCACAAGTGTGAAATGCAATTTATCCTACAAAGAATTCCACATTTTTCATTTGACCAGGCGTCCTTAGAGCTCAAGAAGAAGCAAATCTGTTCAGAGATGGTGCATAGTCTTTTTGAGCGTCCACAGTTCAAAAAAGAAACCACACGAAGAAGAAGAAAAGGCGCGTGAGCTTGTGCACGTGTCTCGAGCCACTTTTGCTCTGACAGATCTCCTAGGAGACAAGACAAGACAAGCTCTTCGCTTCAAACTTTTGTTCATAATCGATGAAGGGTGGGAAAGGACAGGAGTTTATCCCCTCTTCCCCCATCTCACCCGAAGGAAATTGCCATACGTTAAATAATGTTTATTAATTCATTCACACATTCTAAAATTTGTAGCATTTTCATTTTATAACCTCCATTACTCTAAACTTATCAATAAGATTTTAAAGACCACTAAATTATTGGTCAGTCCCTCACAGTGGGCATGAGCCACAAGAGATGGTCAACAAGAACAAGCTCTTGCATTTGAAAAGAAAGCTGCTTTCTTTTAGGAAGTGGTCGACAGGTTGGCCAGTTCTTCGACAGCCTTCTACAGGGGAGCAAACGAGCCATAGGCCACATCGATATCACCGCGGGGCTGACTTAACCTGCCATAGCCATAGTTGGAACTTGGCCGAGAGGATGGCGTGGCGCTGATACCTCAACAGAACAACTACAGGTCCGGCATGCTATTGCAGATTGCGTCACTGACGCTGGTGCCTCCTTGAGCTTCATGCACAAACTTCGCTACGGGAAGTGGAAAGTGGCTTACGCCGCAGAAGCCACGTGATCACCCATCGCTCCGTAGAGCGTCACCCAGGACGAAGAAGAGCGTACTTTAGCGGTCACTTCTGACACTTAAACGATAGGCATGCAGTCCAAGTTTGATAAGACAAACTGGTAGACGTTTATGGATCAGACGCCTTTGTATCCAAGAGAACTGAGCCTAGCATGTGCCTGCTGGAGATGGAGCTACTTTTTTTTCTAACTTGTCGACAGGGAATTCTGCCTTACTTGTGCCTGCCTCGTGCGTCAGAGATCCTATGGAAGGTGGACGAGGACCGGAAGAAGGTGGGGATGGTCTTTGCGAGGGAGTCAGGCCTCACAATATCAATGTACGCCACTGTTGAGGACACACTTGTGCGAGAACGATGGTAAATCTCCCAAAAAATAACCTCGAAGCCTCCGCGATAACATGATATTATCGCATGCATGGCTCTGAAATTATGGGGCCTTGACCAATCACGCCTAAGTAGCTTTACAGCGAAGGCTGTTATGAGGTCACGGGTCACGTGCGGTGCCGTAGTTGGCCGCAGCCGCCATCGATGTACGTAACCGCAATCGCGAAAAATAAGCAAACACTCAGTAAATAAAAAGTCACAGCTTTGCCGCAAAGGCGAATCAATTCACGCTTTAGCAACAAATAGGAAAGTCACGCACGCGCAGAATGGCAAGCAGATCGAAACGTGCCCTGTGTTGCTCACGCACAAATCACGCACGAAACGTACTCACAGGTACAGATGAACGCGAGTAAGTGCCTTAGTTGTTACTTCGTTGAGTCTGAAAAACGTGCCCTTTCGCAAACGAAGACTGTGCAACAATTGAAGTGACTTTTGTGCGCCCGGTACCTACAACAGAATTGTCCGGTGAAAGCCCAAGGCCAGTCAATGCGTAAGATTGCCCCCTCCCCCGCGAGATAAGCAAGCACATGCGTGAGCGTTCACCCTGCACCTCATTCGCGGGGCAAAGAATGCGTGGGAGATGAGAACGGGTGCCGCTGCATCGTGACGATGATGTGGCGACGCATGCTCGTTGCGCCATCTTGGTGGATATAAATAGATTGCCATTTAAATGTTGAAAGAGGTGCTCCAGCGTGGCGCAGTGGCTAACACCTCACACTCGCAATTCAGTGGTCCCCCGTTTGATTCCCTGGGCCGGAGTATTTTTCTGTATATATATATTATATATATATATATATATATATATATATATATATATATATATATATATATATATATATATATATATATATATATATATATATATATATATATATTCGGTAAGTGACGGTGACGCCGACGCTGACGTAGGCAGCAAACTCCAGCTGAGAGTGTCCTTATAATTTCCATCCCAATAAATAATGTAGACCATGATATACAGCGCCACAATATACAGCAGGCGGGAAGTGCCTCAAGTCGCATTACCAGTGCAAGACGTCTGTTTAAACTCACTGGAAGTTGCTGCGATGCAAGTGTGCATTGGAAGCCGAAAACTGAGTGCAACGTCGGTGTACATCAGTCCACGCAAGAAGGTCGCCATGGAGGTTCTCCTAACAGACAATTGCGCTCGGTGTTCCGCTCCACGAATAGTCTGTGGTGTTTTGAACCTGCTGAGCCACATCGAACACCACCATGTCAGCGGCCTGCCAACACTCGCCGTCTTCATGGACGTCGCAAAGCATATGACCGTGTGCTTCAAAGTTCATACAGGCATCGCCCACGGATTAGAAGCCATGGGGGTATCGGGAAATGCTATTTGTTTCGTATATAAATTTATCGGAGACCCCTGTGTCTGGGTTTAGCTTGGGAGTGTCACGAACAGAGAGCAAAGCGTTTCACTCGACGTTCCACAAGGAAGGGTCCTACCTTGCTGCGATAGCCAGCCTTCCTAGCACTCTGTAAGTAGCTTTGAAAGCAATTAAAGTATCCATGTATGCTGATGATATCTGCATCTGGATCTCAGAGTACCAACAGATACGTCTGGACCGGATAGCACAGGGCGCCATTTCAATCACTGAAAGCCATTTGTCGACACTTGGCCTGTTTTTATCAGCGCAGAAATCTGCCTTCATGCTCTTCCCGGTGGTGCGAAAGAAGTCAACGCACGTGTAGCTGAATATCAGATGCCATTCCATTCGTCGTGTGACGAGTGTTCGTTTGTTGGGTGTTACTATCGATGATAAGTTACTATGGTGACGAGCGGTTGATGGTATTGTGGCCACATCCGCGCAGAGACTCAACGCACTTCGTTGCGTGGCAGGTGTATACGCTGGGGCAATAATCCTATGTCGATGCTTAAGCTGAATGTTGCTCTCATGACAAGCTGCATTCGTTACCAGCTGCCACTGATATCGCCGTCACCAAGCCAGGTTGAACGCTTAGAGACAGTGCACAGAAAGGGTCTTCGTTTGCGACGGGAGTACCTAAGGCAGCGTCAAACAAGGTCGGTAACAAAGCCGAGTTTCTAGCACTCCGCCTACAGACGTCTCATGCACTGTTGACGCAGCTATCAAGACTGGGCGAGGCAGGCTCGGCCCCTCACCGGTGGCTAAGAGCAAGAACTGACTTACGTTTTCACGCGGCGCTGAACACATTTCGACATTTAGGATTTAAATCGCCTCAACAGAGCCCTATCGACCCGCCATGGTTCTTTGTGGATGTTGCGTGTAACTTCAGCATTCCTAAACTGCCCAGGAAGCGCACTGTTTCATCTGGGGAAGAAAAGTTTCTGGTATTGGATCATTTCATCACCATGTACCGTGGTCACTTACAAGTTTACACAGTCGGATTAGTGAGCACATAGATGGATAGCTACGCAACGGGCTTCTGCATACCATCCCTGGGCATGTCATGGTCGGGCAGCCTAGATCGTGTTGTGTCACTGCGGCTTTGCGAAAATTGCAAACGCTTTCTGCACGAGGCGTGGTAGTGCTAACGCCTTCGCAGTCATCGTTACAGTGACTGCATCGAGGGCTACCTCAAAAAAAAATTACAGGACAATCTCTGGCGCTCATTAAACACCTCATTGGCAAGAGCTTCAATGAAAATTTTAGTGGATCCCATTCCTCGCTGGAAATGAAGACAATGAAAAAGCTGATGCCCTTGCATGCGAAGCACGAACTTGCGTTCCAAAAATAAGAACTCCTAAAACTTACCAGAACAACAAGGATGTAGTACGCAATCACTTCAGGGCGATCCCCAAGTTTTTAGCCCCGCCGCGGTGGTCTAGTGGCTAAGGTACTCGGCTGCGCACCCGCAGGTCGCGGGTTCAAATCCCGGCTGCGGCGGCTGCATTTCCGATGGAGGCGGAAATGTCGAGGCCCGTGTGCTCAGATTTGGGTGCACGTTAAAGAACCCCAGGTGGTCAAAATTTCCGGAGCCCTCCACTACGGCGTCTCTCATAATCATATGGTGGTTTTGGGACGTTAAACCCCACAAATCAATCAATCAATCAATCCCCAAGTTTCCCAAGAAGTCACGCGTATTCCAGAGAATTTTTAGAGAAAAAACGACGTTGCTTGACCAGATAAGAACTGACTGTGCATACACGCCTTCTTTGTCATTCAAGACTGGTCACCCTGCTGGGACGAAATCTACAAGCCATGTCCTTAACAAGCACGGTTCCCTCGGCTGCTTGATGCTTGATTAGAGGATTGTGAATGGCGTCACTTGTGCTTTAGAACGCTCTTTGCTTCATCCTTGAGCTGTACCTGGCTCTACTTCCCTTCTCCCACCTTCTTAGTTTCAGCTTCTATTCATCTCCGCTGCATTCTACGTTCGCTATGTCTCCTACTCCACTCTGTGGCAGTAGATCATTCACATAGTTACGTCAACTGTTCGAAACACACGAACGCCACTTGGGAGCTGGTAGTCGAGTTCTAACCCAGTGTGTGTGTTTGTGTGCGTTTGTGTGCGTTTGTGTGTGTCTGTGTGCGTTTATCTTGGCACATTGACGCGTGTTTATTACGGGATGTAAATGCCGTTTGTTTTTTATTTTGACAGTTTCTTGGTAATCTGACGAACTGTCATACATGACGTGCACAATAGCAGACGACTATAGTTTATGAATAAAGAAAGTTTAATTAAACTTCGCAAACGTCGCTGACTGATACCACCAATTGCTTTGAGGAAGATGCATGCTGGTGATTCGCTTATGTATACATATATATACGAGTCAACATATCTCCTCTTACCTGGGCCCACTACGAATGATATACACAGTTACAGGAGAACGCCCCGGTGTACATCTAAAATGGCGCCAGTTTCACAAGTGATCCTTAATTCTCTTACCATTATTTGCTTGATTTCAGTGCCACTTTCTACCGGAAAAGCCAAACACCAGTTGAAACATGAAATCGCCGACGTTAAAAAGGTATGTGCTTTCCCGTTTCACATGCTTTACGTTCCGACACTGCCCAATACGTCTTACTCATAAGGGTTTCTCTGTGCATTCCCGAAAACTGCAGCAAATTGTACTTGTACTTGTTTTGTGACATCGAAAAAATGTTGCTTCCAAAAAAAAAAAAAAAAACATTAGAGCCTCATCAGGTATGTTATCATGGAAATAACTATTCGTTTACAGGTGAAAATATTTAGAATTTTCTCGAAATGAAACTGGCAGAGCTTTTTCTTGCGAAAATTACACAGATAACAACTGTCTGCCGAAATTAGAATTTGTATAGGCATTGCCATGATCTGCTGCTAACCATCTTTAAACTGCCTCCGATTCTTTGGAATACACTTTTACCCATTCATTACGAGGACCACATTTGGAGACACGGATACTTGATTTCATGTAAAAATAGTGGGTTCTGTGATGACCCGTGCAGACCATATAATTAAAAAAAATGTGACAATTAGAATAATCCACCGAAAGTTCCGTCAGCCAGTAGAGTTTAAAATACTGAGGGCAAGAATACTCAGCCATTGGACAAAATTTGATGCGTCTACGTGTGTCTGCCGACGTCAGTCACAGATTTGCGACTGAAACACGGCAAGCACTTCACTGATAACGCTATATAGTTGAGTAAAATACAGCACAGTAAGTACTATGTGAGCTCTCAACTGACAAGTGTATAAGTTTTAAAGTTGTTGCACCCCAAGCACAGGCCATTCTCAAGCATATAGAAGTATCCACTTGTTCGCAGTTCATGCCCATTTAATGGTCAGCAGTTGTAATTAATTAAGAAACACGTGCCACCAGCTCACGAAAATTCGATCAATTCCTTTGAAATCAAAGCAATCTGTGAACCCGGAAATCTTTAATATTTGCACCAAAAAACCAACATAAGTGTGCATTTCTCCAAGAATAGCGTCAGCCAACTATATTCAGCGTGTACAGTTTTAGTCTTCTTAGACCACAGAATGTCGAGTCGGCTGTCTCGGCAAAGCAACCTCCTAAAGTAAGTAGAATATCTATGTACTTAGGAATCAGAGTGTCTGCGGAATCAATATACAGAACAGTAACAGGATGGCTGTGGGAAAATCACAGACTGAATAGATATGAAAGTTGCTCATGCGGAGTGAAAGTTGCTCATATGGGCCTAACTGTCTGTTGGATTCATTTAGCTGCCCGATAAAGAAGTGAGCCCATCGAAAACACACTGCCCCATAGTTGAGTACGAAATACTCAAAATGATCGGACACTCTCTTCCTTCAGCTCTTTGAGAAGTATTATGTTTCTGTTTACTCATAGTTTCGCATCAGCGCCCAGTGTTTTATTGAAGTCTGTCTAAAATTGCGTCTGTAGCGTATACGAATAATTTACATGGACTCACTTTCGAAGTTTTTTGTGTAGAAGTGTCTCTATTACTTTGCTAAAGATCGAACTAAACGTTGCCGAGAGCGACTTCTGCGCGCCTTTTAATGATGGAGCGGAATAGCTCGGTCCGCCCCACCGCAGTGGTCTCGTGGCTAAGGTACTCGGCTGCTGACCCGCATGTCGCGGGATCGAGCCAAAGAATGTGACGACGTGCACGTTCCTCATCGTTTTCTTCAACTTATCCCAAAATCAATCTTGTGGCATCCAACCGCTTAGAACCGAGCCATTGAGGTCTGTTATCTGCAGCAGGACCATTCACTACAAATGCTCTCACTTTTAAATGCGAAGCATTTTTTAGCAAATTTTGGCGACTTTGAGCGTATCTATCTATCTATCTATCTATCTATCTATCTATCTATCTATCTATCTATCTATCTATCTATCTATCTATCTATCTATCTATCTATCTATCTATCTATCTATCTATCTATCTATCTATCTATCTATCTATCTATCTATCTATCTATCTATCTATCTATCTATCTATCTATCTATCTATCTATCTATCTATCTATCTATCTATCTAATCTATCTATCTATCTATCTATCTATCTATCTATCTATCTATCTATCTATCTATCTATCTATCTACTATCTATCTATCTATCTATCTATCTATCTATCTATCTATCTATCTATCTATCTATCGATCTATCTATCTATCTATCTATCTATCTATCTATCTATCTATCTATCTATCTATCTATCTATCTATCTATCTATCTATCTATCTATCTATCTGTCTGTCTGTCTGTCTGTCTGTCTATCTATCTATCTATCTATCTATCTATCTATCTATCTATCTATCTATCTATCTATCTATCTATCTATCTATCTATCTATCTATCTATCTATCTATCTATCTATCTATCTATCTATCTATCTATCTATCTATCTATCTATCTATCTATCTATCTATCTATCTATCTATCTAATCTACCCGCCTACGCTTTTAGCTCTCCTGGCGTTTTTGATAATGGTATCAATACCAAACTTGGTATAGCATAACATGACTGTATGAAGAACATATTTAACTACTCATAACATAAAAACAATTGGCAGCATATCTACGGAATGAATGATGGAGAGTGGGGCGAAGCATTCGTGCGTCCATTCATTCTTGCTTCCGTTCGTCCATGCGTCCATCTTTGTGAACGTCCATGCGTCCATCCGCCCGTTCGTGCGTGCGTCTGTTCGTGCGTCCGTCCCTGCGTTCGTCCATGCATCTGCCCCTACGTCCGTTCATGCGTCCATCCATACATCTGTCTGTGTGTCGTTTCGTCCATCTATTCAACACTCCAAGTACCACCATCTCGCATATTTTATCATATATTCCCCATATAGAAGCACCGCCATCCAGCGGACCTTCCAAGGACTAAACGAGGGGTGGCACACGCACACTTTCTTACGGCTGGCACTTCAGGTCTACTTCCCACCTTTAACGACCTCGAGTTCATGGTATATACTAGTTCACTGTATTCATGGCACTGCTGCCCAACGTTCGCTAAACCTTTCTAAAACCAAGGAGGTTACGCCCAGCGAGTATAACGTAGCAACCTTTTCCAGCCAAATAGCGCTCAATGTACATGCCAATGGCTGCTAATGGGAAATGAGAGACAGGAGAATTCGGCTTTTACTTCCTTACGGCTTGCGCTTCATATATACTTCCCACCTTTAATCACCTCGAGTTCATGGTATATACTACATGGTTTTGTATTCATGGCACTGCAGCTCAACGCTCGCTAAACCTTTCTGAAACTAAGGAGGTTACACCCAGCAGGTATAACGTAGCAACTCTTTCTTGTCAGATAGTGCTCAATGTACATGCCAATGGCTGCTAATGGGGATCGCAGCGTGTGCGATAACTAAATGTCGAAGGTTTCTGTCTCTCATTCTCCATTAGCAGCCATTGGCATGTACACTGAGCACTATTTTGTATTGTTCAACAACGCACAGAAGAAATCTCTCACCGGCACCACCTTGATGATTTGTGGGGTTTACCGTCCCAAAACCACCATATGATTATGAGAGATGCCGTAGTGGAGGGCTCCGGAAATTTCGACCACCTGGGGTTCTTTAACGTGCACCCATATCTGAGCACACAAGCCTACAACATTTCCGCCTCCATCGGAAGTGCAGCCGCTGCAGCCGGGATTGGAACCCGCAACCTGCGGGTCAGCAGCCGAGTACCTTAGCCACTAGACCACCGCGGCGGGGCATACACCGGCACCACCTTGGAGGTCAAAATGTTATACTTGTTACGCACTACAACAGCTACGAGGGACGAACGGGTGCCACTGCAAAGAACTTCGCCCCTAAAATGATGACATGTATGTCATGAATGTCATGGTTTCCATTTCATGGTCCTGCAGCTCTTCCGGTGGTTTCGATCACATGGCATGTTGCAAAACTGGTATGGTATGACATGATTGCATGGCGAACACAAGCGACAGACTCTAACATGAAAATCATAAAATGTGTGTTTTGTAACAACATGGCTACATGCCACGCTCATAATGCGCTCGCGGCCATTTCACTAGCGTCACTTATACCAAATTTGGTATTACAGTACGTGAATGGATGACGAAGGTATGTGACTGGTGCAAACATGATAATCATGAGATGCGTGTCATGTAGCAACATGACTACTTGCAATGCTCATGATGCGCTGGTGGCCGTTTCGCTAGCTTCAGATGTGCCAAACGTGGTATTACGTGACGCGAACAGACGACATAGTAAATGACACGTCCAAACATGATAATCACGACATATGTGTCACGTAACAACATGAGACCATGCCACATTGATGATGCGATCGCGGCAGTTTTCCTAGCTTCACATATGCAAAATCTGGTATTACGTGGCGGCAATGGATGACGAAGTTATGTGAATGGTGCAAACATGATAATCATGATATGCATGTCACGTGTGAACATGACTACATGCCACAGTCAAAGCGCCAATAGAGAGTTTTAGTACTGCGGAATGGTGCTACGTACGCATCACGCAAGCGCCTTGCGTTACGTGGCGTCGTTTGCCACAGATCGGCTTTTAGTACGCTGTAGTACCCGCGTACGTAACGAGCGTCAAACGTGTTGCGTCATCTGGTATATAAAAGTAGAAGCACGTGTTGTTGACAGCCAATGTGAGCCAATCCAAGTGTTATAGCCAGATTATGGCCATATTTTAAGCCACAGAGCCAGTCAGTGCTTGCCTTCAATGCCGCCATTTTGCAAAACGAAGTCTCGCGCTGTCGCGAACTTGTTCGAGAGCGGCGCGATCAGCTCATACGTACGCACGCACGCATCTCATGCGTGCGTACGTAGCGGCTGCGTACGTAACGCAATACGTGCGCGTTGCGGTTTGCGCATGCACACTACGCAGAGCGTGGCGTCCTTACGTACGCAACGCCGCCACGTACGCAGCGCAAGCAGTACTAAAACTCTCTAATATATTTCGACGTGTCGCGGTGGGCGTGCTTGCCGGTGTTCATTTCGTCACGTCATGCCGGCGTTGCCACACCAGGTGCTGGTCCTGTAAAATACTCGCAG